GGGGCAGACCAGGGACGGGCACGGTCCGCCTATGACTAAGGCCGCGCGCAGCCCGGACTAGACCTCGGTTTCCGCGTTCGGACTCACCCACCCGCCCTGGGAAGGACCAGGAGGAAGTGGCGAGGGAGGAGTCTTCGCCGGGAATTGAGAAGTGTTCTTAGGGGAGAGGCCAGGCGTGGTGTGCGCCCTCCGTTGCACTCCCGGATGGAGCTGAGTCTCCACCTCTGGCGGGTCCTGGCCTGTTGCAGCTGCTGGACCCTGGAGGGTTCTGAGCCCCACTCGCGGGTGCACGCGCAGTGCGCCCTGGGGGGCGCATACACTGAAGGTGGAGTGGACCTGCAGATCCGGGATTGGGGATGCGGGGAGGAAGCCTTGTTTGGGACCATAAGCATCCGGGCACTTTATCCACAGAGGGGGGAAGGCCAGATTGTAAACTCGCTGAGAGGGCGCCCGGGAGGGGGCCCTAACCCAGGATATAAGGGAGTCTCCCGGTGTCCCCCTCCTTGGAGACCTCTGTGCTGTGAGTGTGACCGCCAGGCTCAGATAACTAGCCGCTGGGGAGCTGGTCACCCCTGGCCAGAGCATGGGGAAGAGAGATGGGACTACGAAGCGCAGGACCTGCAGCCATGGAGGCGAAGTCCTCACATGAGCCAAGAGAAGGGGTGTGGATAGTGCTTTATTTTATTTTTTTTTTAAATATATTTTATTGATTTTTTACAGAGAGGAAGGGAGAGGGATAGAGAGTTAGAAACATCGATGAGAGAGAAACATCGACCAGCTGCCCCCTGCATATCCCCCACTGGGGATGTGCCTACAACCAAGGTACATGCCCTTGACTGGAATCGAACCTGGGACCTTTCAGTCCGCAGGCCGACGCTCTATCCACTGAGCCAAACCGGCCAGGGCGGATAGTGCTTTAGATGAAGACGACCTCAGGAGCTCAGCCCGGAGCTCGGTGCAAGCTCCGAGTGTGGATCCCTGAAACTCTCCGTGTCACTCGGGCCTGAGCTCTTTTCCATTGTGGAAAGGCGAGAAAACCACAAGACGCTACCCACTGACCCGGAGCGGGGGGCGTCCCCGGTTGTATGTAGAATCAGACCATCGGTCACCATGGACAGTGGCAGATGGCGGGCGGGTTCTGTGCTTGGGGACGGAGATGCTCTGATCCTGCTGGGCATCCCTCTGGGATGGCCCTTGGAATCCCCTTCACCAGGCAGCTTGGAAACGCAAAAAGAAACCCTTCCTCCTCTCCAACCCGTGGGAGGCGCGGTGCCTCCTGCCCAAGGCCCTTGTTTTAGGAGTAACTCTACCGAGGGAGGGTCACCCGGAGAAGGAAAGGGGCTGGAACGGAGCCACTGCATCCCAGTCCAGGGCCCTGACTTACCCGGCAAAGGAACAGGAAGGAGCGAGTTCTCTCATTCCCAGGCTGGAGCTCAGAGCCAGCCCAAGGCAGGGGAATAAGATAGTGGCGTCCCTGTGCCCACCCTGTTCTGTGCCCAGAATTCTCTTCCTTCCTGCCCTGGCACTAGAGTCCGCCCAGCTTTCCTCCTGCCCCTAGCAGCCCTCTCATCCTGGCGCTCCTCGCTGAGGCTTCCTCTCGGTCCCAGGCCTCTCCTTGGGCCTGAATACCATACCCACCCTTTATCCCCAGCCTCCAGCCCTCCTTTACCCCACCCAGAATCCCCATTTTCCAGGGCCCACACATTTGTTCTTACCAGCCTTTAGGGGCCTCCCGCTGTCCCCAAGACTCGTGCTGAAGTTGTCACTTCTCGATGCTCTCCTCTCTCCACAAGACCTTGGGAGCTCGGGGAAGCAAACAGGCTTCAGTTCCCTCCTCTCCCAGGACCTTTCTCCTGGAGAGCCCACCCTACCCTCCGCACCGCCCTTGCTCTGCTGGACAGCAGCGAGTCCGGGTGCAGAGCACACAGTGACAAGCTGACTCCACCTGCGTCCTCGCCTGTCTTCCCGATCCGTCCCCATCAGCTGGCTTCAGCTTAGGGGCACCAAAGCACAGCCCGGGCACAGGGTTATTCTGTAAGAGACCTTCTGGTGGGAACTCCCTGGGGACTTGGGACAAGGCATTAGTCAGCCATGATCTCAGCTGGTCTGTGACACTCCCACTCCCATTAGGGCCTGTCTGACATCACCCGGAAAGGAAGTGAGGCTGATGCAATGGGACCAAGGCAGTTGGTAGGAGAAAGTTTATTCAGTGCCCGACTGCCCTAGTCCATACTCCACCTTTCCGATAAGGATCCAGTTCCTGGAGGAGTGGGGGAGGGGCTGAGTGGTGGCGCTGCCTCTTTGCACTAAACATCCAACAGCAGGAAGGAGGTGCAGAAACCGACCTGCTTGGCACTTGTGGGCAGGCTCCAGCAGGAGGCAGACTTGGAACCTGGCCTGCAGCTACCTTTTGTGCAGCCTGGGTCAAGCTCAAACAGCATGTCACCGTGGTTTCCTCACTAGATCTCAGACGTGCGGCTGGCCCCAGGCCCTCTGCCAAGGGGTGCTAATGTTTTAGAGGTTCCCCTTCCTCTGCCCACTGGTGGCTGGGCTCCTGCTGTGCACCAGCCCTCAACTTCTCACCATGCAGTGGGCCAGGGCCCTTTGCCAGGGTGAGGGGCAAAGTGGGCTTCCTTCTCCAGGACACACACAGGCCCACCTAAAGTGCCGGGACTGGGCTGTGCCGCTGCGGTAGTTTTACTGTGAGCGAGAGTCCTTTCCAATGTCCCTTTCTCTTCCTGGCCCCGGGCTTTGTGCTTCAGTGCCTTGGTTTTAAGGTGCCCTTAGGGTCTCACCTGGACTGTCACAGTCGGGGCAGAGAGCAGCCTTTGCTGTCTCCATCCCTGGCATGCAGAGCCCGGAGCAGTGATGGGTTCTCTCATCAGGCTCACGCTTTGTCGGTTTCCAAAGGCTACGCCAGAGGCCGCTTCTCAGAGCGGCCCACCCAGGGCTCACCTCTGTGCCTGGGCATGCCTTGCCGCATGGGATGGCTCCTTAAGGGTCCATGCTGCCCCATCTTTCAGGACGAGCCCGTGCAGTGGGAGACACCTGACCTTTCTCAGGCTGAGATTGAGCAGAAGATCAAGGAGTACAATGGCCAGATCAACAGCAACCTCTTCATGAGCCTGGTGAGTTGACAGCCTGGGAAGGGGTGCGGGGAGGGGCAGGCGCCCAGCTGTGGGCCCGATGTCTGAAGGGTCGCAGCCGAGGTACGGTTGGGTGGGCCCCGCAGAGATTGATGCACATCCAGCCTGGCCCCGTGTGGACTGGCAGTGCCCAGATCTGTCCCTTCTCACCTGGAAGCCAGTCATGGTTCGGTTTCTCTTCAGAACAAGGACGGCTCCTACACAGGCTTCATCAAGGTGCAGCTGAAGCTGGTGCGCCCTGTCTCCGTGCCTGCCAGCAAGAAGCCTCCCACCTTGCAGGACGCCCGGCGGGGCCCAGGGCGGAGCACAGCCGTGAGGCGCCGCACCTCCTTCTACCTGCCCAAGGATGCTGTCAAGCACCTGCACGTGTTGTCACGCACGCGGGCACGCGAGGTCATCGAGGCCCTGCTGCGCAAGTTCTTGGTGGTGGATGACCCCCGCAAGTTCGCACTCTTTGAGCGGGCCGAGCGCCACGGCCAAGGTGGGCTCCCGCCTCACCCACCTGGGAGGTGCATGTGCATGCAGCTGTGCGTGCAGGGCTGAGGGGGCCGGGCCTGACTAATCACTCCCCCCTGCTGACCTCAGTGTACCTCCGGAAGCTGTCGGATGAGGAGCAGCCCCTGCGGCTACGACTCCTTGCGGGGCCCAGTGAGAAGGCCCTGAGCTTCGTGCTGAAGGAGAATGACTCTGGGGAGGTGAACGTGAGTACACAGCCTCCTTCGTTCTGGGTTGTCACTAGGCAGGGCTGAGGGTTGCAGCTACAGTAAGGCTCGGAGGAGGAGGAGGGTGAAGGACAAGCCCTGCCACGCTTCTCCAGGAGTGTGTGAGCCTTGTGGCCGAGTGAAGGCTTCCTGGCCATTCGTGCCAAGTCTGGGCCTGTCTCAGACGCCAGGGAGAACGGCCTTGGTGCTCTCCTCTCTCCCGTCGTGGGAGTCCTCGGGAGATGCAGGAGTCCATCTCACGCTGTGGTGATCCCAGGCCATATCGCAGCCACACAGGTGGCCCCAGGACGTCCAGGGCTCCCCTCCAGACGTGAGGACTTTTCACCTGGGAGCTTTCTGGTTCCAATGTGTTGGGCCCATGAAGTGGGATTAGACTCAAAGAGTGTGAGCATGACCTGTCTGTGGTGACTGGGAACATCTGGTTTGGTTACCTGCCTCGAGGTGACTGCCTACTTTGTGGGACCGTCTTCTAGACAGAATGGTGGGAACCCTAGCACAGACCATTCAGGCACGAACCTGATCAGAAAGCCCCAGGTGTGACCATGATGCTCTGGTCTTCTCTGGAGAGGCCTGCTGGTGTGGCCATGCCTGCTGCAGCCTTTGCCACCCCTCCTCCCTGCAGTGGGATGCCTTCAGCATGCCTGAGCTCCGCAACTTCCTGCGCATCCTACAGCGGGAGGAAGAGGAACACCTCCGCCAGATCCTGCAGAAGTACTCCTGTTGCCGCCAGAAGATCCAGGAGGCCCTGCATGCCTGCCCCCTGGGGTGACCTCTTATACCCTGGGTGGAAGGAGGAGCGTAGGCAGCACAGAGGGTGTGCCGTGTGAGTGTGACAGGGCCTGTCTGGCCTGAGGAATGAGTGTGCATGGAGGCCCTCATCTGGCTGGCGGAATGAACCCAGAGAGCAGCAAAGGAGCAGGTCCCCTGTGTCCACCCGTGGGTGTAGCAGAGCATCGCTCTGCACCCTCTGCCCTTCGTGTACTGAGTCATGGTGGACAGAGTTGCAGCAAGGGTAGAGCAGACAGAAGTCTCCTTAATTTGTGTCTCAGATACGAGAATCTAGGAGACCCAACCAACAGAATAGGGTCATGTTTGCAGGGATGAGGACCCTCAGCTATGGGGAAGGGTTGTATGTCTGGGATGGGGTCTCAGGACCAATAGTGGGTGTTGAAGACCAGGCAGGCAGCGAGGAAGAATGCAGGTTTCCCTCTGCAGTGCCCTGGGCTCTGGCACACCCTGGAGTCTGCGTGCTGCTGCCACTGCAGCAACAGTGCCTCAGTGCGCCTCCAAGGAGGAGGACCTGGGCTGGGGTCTGTGGGCACTGGCTCAGGTCCATGCCTTGTTTGCCAATCAAAGCCAGGGTCTTACTTGGGGTATTTTTCATGATGTGTGTGAATGCATATTTTGTGGCCTCAGCTGAATGCCTCCTGTGGGGAAAGGGGTGGGAATGACAGTCATCATCAGGGCCTGGGGCTTGGGAAAACTTGGCTGAATAAAGATTCAAGACTCTCCCGCTTTTGGACTCTATATGGGCCACAGCCCCAGTTGCTCTTCATGCCAGTGGCTGCCCAAGGTGATGGACAGGCTCACAGAACACCTTTTCAAGGTCACTGTGGGACCAATTTGAAGGATTTGGGTACAGATATGTAAGTCCTCTCGGCACCCTGGGGCTCAGGTCTTGTTTTGGGCAAGATCATCAGCTGCAGCCAGCGCTCAGGGGAACCCCACACCCCAGAGCAGAGCTGTGGGAGCTGCTCTGGACGGACACTCGCTGCTCATGGCCCCTGAAGCACGGCCGTTAAGCCCTGCCTTCCCGAAGCACACCTTCTGCTGGTTCAGGGAGGACACTGGGTTTGACTTCTCAGGCCTCAATGTGGCTGTATGACGAGTGGCCAATTCCTCACTTCCCATAGGTTCCGTTTCTTCTCCACCTGCCAGTGGTGATGGCAAAAGGGGAACAGAATGAGGCCAGGCTGCGGCCTGGCCCGGGGGTCAAGTCCCACAGAGCCGGTTGAGGGGGACACTGGTGGTCGGGCAGGCCCGCCGTACCTGACCGACGGGCACGTCCGAGGCGCCATACGCGCCAAACAAGCGCGCAGGACAAGCCACCGCCTTCCTGAGTGGGAGCTGCCCCGGCTGGAGACCGTGGCCTGCTGGGACCTGACGTCTCGCGGTGCATGCTGGGATGCCTGATGTCTGGGGCGGCTATTGGTCTCGCTCTGCGGATCGACGGGAGGAACAGCCAATCAGGGGGCAGCATGAGAAACGGGCGGAAGCGGAAATGAGGTTTCCGTGGAGACAGCCGACCCTGCGGAAGACGGCGGCGGCACCTGCGAGCGGTGGCCGGGGCAGGAATGGTGGCGCGGACTGCCCTGTGAGAGCAAAGCGGCCGCGGGGTCCGCCATGCGCCGGCGGCCCTGACATGGGCACCAGCGGCTCCAAAGCTCGGGGGCTGTGGCCCTTCGCCTCGGCGGCGGGGGGCGGCGGCCCGGAGGCGGCGGCCGCGGAGCAGGCTTTGGTGCGTCCGCGAGGCCGAGTCGTGCCCCCCTTCGTATTCACGCGCCGAGGGTAAGGGCGCGGGGTTCCGCCCCGGGGGGGACAGGCTGGCGGCCGGGGCCGTGCGTCATAAGTAGCTGCCCCCGCCGTATCCCCTGCGCGGAGCTGGGACGACTCCCATGTTCAGGCCCCTTTTGGAGCGAGGGAAGGCGGCCGTCGGCTCCTGGAGGCCTGCTGCTCCTAAGATCTCCCTCGGAGAAAAGTGGGCCTGAGTTTGTCCCGGGCCGACAGCCTCGCGCAGGGAGAACTAAGATCGGGCCTCGTCCTTTCACCCCTTTAAGCCCAGCCAGCAAGTTGAAGGCTCCTAGCCTCCCTCCCTGATTCTTCTGAGGGGAATGACCCCTCGTTTGGCTGTGACGGTTTCCCACAGTGGGGAGGCTGGACCTCGGAGGGGAGGGGCGGGGTGGGGGAGAAGGCAGGACTGGGCCCTAGTGTTGGGGATGTGGCCTAGGAAGAAAGACCCTCACCCCGACATGTTCTCCAGGTCTGGAGCACTGACCTCCCGCTCTCCCCAGGGGTTCAGTTCAGCGGGAGCATTAGATTGAACTGGCCCGGGTGTCCCCGGGGACTGACACTCCGGTGATGCTGGAGATGTCGCTGTAGGCACTGGGGAGACCCAACAGTGGCAGTTGGGCTGCACCGGCCACCTGGGGCTGGTGGGCAGGACGCAGCCTTTTTGCTCTTCGGCTCCCTCCCAGCTCGGGCATCTGCTGTCTCAGGCTTTGGCCCTGGGCCAGCGGTGTCTTCTGGACCAACATGCTCAGCCACCACCCTGCCCACTGTTAGTCCTGGTGACGGCCAGGGCCTGATGCTGGAATGGCTGTTCTTGCTGAACAAACCAGCGATGAGAACTAGCCTTGGCTGCCTGGACAGTGTGCTCTGGTATAGCCTCTCTTCTTGGGGCCCGACAGTAGCACTTCCTGCTCGTAGCCCCAGACCCTAAGCAAGAGGTTCTCCAGGCGTGTTACCTTCCTTCCCTTCCCCTAAGGTTGCTCCTCCCTTTGTGGAGGTGGCACACTTCCCGGGGGTCTGTGGCCTGTGCCATGACCAGGTGTGAGGCTGCAGCCCAGCCTGTTCCCCTCTCCTCTACACAGCTCCATGTTCTATGACGAGGATGGAGATCTCGCTCACGAATTCTATGAGGAGACGATCGTCACCAAGAACGGGCAGAAGCGGGCCAAGCTGAGGCGGGTGCATAAGAACCTGATACCTCAGGTGAGGGGCTGGGCAGTGGTCATGGAGCCGATGCTGAGTGTGTGAGGTAGACCCAGACGGGGTCTGCGGTCATGGTGGGGGCTCTGGGGGAGGAGCCGGGAGGAGCAGGAAGGCTTCCTGGAGTAGGGGCCCCGAGAGGACCCTCACCAGCCCCTGTTTCCATGGCAGGGCACCGTGAAGCTGGACACCCCCCGCATCCACGTGGATTTCCCTGTGATCCTCTATGAGGTGTGAGCCTGGGGGGTTTCAGGCCTCAGCAAGGAACCCTCAGGCTCAAGGTGTGGCTTCCACTGAGGACCTAGGCGGAAGCCACTGTCCTGATTAAACTCCATGGGCCTGGACGCTGCCGCTGGGAGCCGGGCAGCCCTGCAGTGTTGGTTGGGTGCTGGTTTGTCTTCGGATGAGAGGTGGCTGGTAAGGGCTGACGGCGGAGTTACCAGCCTCCCTTCCCCGGCAGTGCCGATAAGGAGCCTGGCAGGGCATGTGCTGATCGGGGCTGCCTGGTTCCTGTGCCCTGGCCTGGCCTGCTTGCTTCCAAGCTTGCCTGGGGCCCAACCCTACTGGGGCTACAGCACTTTACAAGTAAGGTCTTTCTTCCAGCCCCTGGGCTGTGGGAGCTGTACACAAGTGGGGACTCCCCTTCCCTCACTTCCTCTACCCGTTCGTTGGAGCATTTCAGCCATTTGCTACCTCGATTCCTCCTCTGTTGGACAGAGGCTGGGGCAACACAAGCCTGATTCCTCCTACCTACCTGCCCTGTGTTCCCACCCCAGACGGAGGGACAGTTTGCTGGCTGTTAACAGGAGGAGGGGCTGGTGTGGAGGCTTCTCCCTCTGCCCAGGGCTGGGCTGACCCCTCCCCACTGCAACTAGTTGCCCCTGGAGTCGTCCTTCCCCTCCCCGCAGTTGAGAAGGCATAGGATGGGATCAGGAAGGGCTCTGGATGCCGGTGCTCCTACCCACCTCCTCCATGTGATCTCCCTTGCCTTTTGCACCAGTCCCCCCACACATTGGGAAGACACCACCCTGTGGTGCCAATAGCTCCGAGCCCACCACCCCTTCCCCTATAGTGTGCCCATCCCTTCAGGATCAATCAGGGGAAGGTATTGGAGCCCCTGGGTAGGGACAGAGAGAACAACCATAAAAGATGTAAAATGTGAAAGTTTGTAAATAGTCTAGTCCATGACATTGTTGGGGCAGAGTCTGATTTCTACATAGAAATGACTTTTTTTTTTTTTAATTCCTTACTGTGCAAGCTCTGTGCTTCCAGAGTATGGGAAGTGGTGTGGGGAGGGTGGCCCCCAATCCAGGAAGGCTGTTGTGTTACTGGTTCAGTTTCAATAAAATTATTTGTAGACCCTGAAGACAAGAGTGGCATCCTTGGGGCTGTGACACCCAGCATCTAGACCGCCGCCTGGGCTCAGTGGGTAGGCCTGGGCCCAGGACGCTGGGCCCCCATCTATAGCAAGGCCAGAGGCAAGCCTGAGCCTGGTCTGCAGCCATCCCAGCCATGACCAGGAGGTGGCAGTGTACTCACACAGACCTTACCGCAGGATCCCTCAGGATGGAGGGCCACTCCTATATTGCTTTCAGTAGATGGTATCCCTGGAGTTGAAAGGTCTTGGGAGACTTCCTTAGGGATTGGCCTAACCTGAGGTGAGGATGTGACCTCATATAGGTCAGCAGTGCCAGCTGACCCTACATGGAGCCACAGCCTAAACCCTATGGGCCTCCAAGGCCAGCCTTAAGTGGACAGCAGCCAGATGGGTGGCACACACCCTTGGTCTCCTTCCAGGCTCTGCCTTCCAAGTCCACCTGCCTCCTCCTGGGCTGCCTGTGGGTCCCACCAGGAGAGTGGCCTTGGGGCCTCTGTTCCAGCAAAGCTCAGCGCCCAGTCCTGTTCCCTGCCACCCGCCGTCTGACCTGCCGCCTGCCCCTGCCCCCTGTGGACATTCCGCCTGTCTCTCAGGGCCTGCTGTGAGGCCCGTTCACTGCTCTGCCCAGCCCTTAGCCATCAGCCCAGCGCCTGGTGAGGGAGGAGGGCGTTCAAGCACACAGGCTTCTGGGTCTGGGGAGTTGGCCTGCTCACCTTCTGGAGGTCACACTTGGCAAGATCCCGCTGCAACCTGGACTTACAGTTCTTTGGGCATCTGCCCGTTTTCCCAATAAGATAGCAGACAAGGTTCGGTCATCTGCTGTCCCGCCTGCTGACTGCCCCAGGCACAGGGTTCTGCCTGGCCAGATGGCACCCCATCTCCTAGCATCACCGTCCCAGTGTGGGAGAACTCACTGTGCTGGGCCCCAGCTGACCCCAGAGCCGTAAACAATGGGGGTCAGGTCACTGCTTCCCCACACCCTCCCGCTGGGCTGTGCTGTGCTCACTTCCTTCCTGCTGCCGCCTGAGGAAGTGTCCCTACCCTGGGACAGCCTGGCCTGGTCTTTGTTTCCCCTGGGCCTCCACCCTTGAAGCTTTCCAAGCCAGTGTCCCTTGTGGAGCCAGCGTGGTGGTATAGGGACGCCACCCTCCCATGCCACGTCTTGGGCTCCTTGGTCCTCAGGGGCAGATTCCAGGGTATGTGCCCACTTCCCCCAGACGTCCAATTTCACAGCCTCTGTTAGGAAAGAGGCCTGGGCATCAGGGAAGTGGGCCAGCAGGGTAAAGGCTGGGGGAGGGGGTACGTTCAAAGTGATCTGAGGGGGTGTACATTTGTCCACACCTCGCTGGGGCCCCCCTGGGGCCAGCCACACATGGGCACCTACTTCCCACAGGTTGCAAGGAGGAGTCAGGATATCACCCAGGAATGTCCTCCAGCAGGAGAACACCCTGCAGGCCGCTCCCAGCCCTGCCCCCACCACCCGCCACAGTCACATCAGCATATTGTCTATTCGTCAAACAGGATACTTCCGCTCTCAGTGGAAAAGATTGACTCAGCTCCTGGAATTTCTCCCAATCCCTTCCCAGACACCCCCCTTCCCTTCACCACCTGCTTAGGGGAACCATCAGCCAAGCATCCCCCGAGTAGTCTGACTCCCCAAACCCCCAACACCAGGGCCCTTGCACTCTACTGGACCTTAGGATGGTCTCAAACTCAGGGGAAAGTTGGGGAGAAGAGCGTTCAGTGTTAAGGAAGCTTCCGGCCTGGGGGAGGCTGGCACCTGATGGGAGCCCACAGCCTTCCTGTCACTTGGCCCAGTCGGGCTGGGCAGGACCCAGCGGGGAAGGGTGGGGGGACAGTCAGCCAGCAGGGCAGACCCGAGGGAAACAGGGTCAAAGCGGCCCCTCCCCCGCCATTCCTGGCCCTTTCCTCTAAGGGGCAGCAGGAAGTGAGGAGAGAGGGCTGGGTGGGAGGCGGGAGGAGTAGGAGGGGATGGGGTTTATCAAGTCGCCGGCGGGCTGCCCACTGGGCAGCAGCTGGCGCGAGTCGCTGGACTGGAGAGGCTCTAACCTACGGAGCCGAGGACTCCCATACAGGTGAGCCCCGCGCAGACGGCTGGTCTGCACCCCGCATCGGTGCGCTCTCAGCCGTGTTCCCTCCCTCTCCCCGGCTTGCGAGCGGGGAATGGGCTGGTGGTGCGACCCCGGCCCTTCCGGGAGCTGAGCACGGCACGGGCAGCGGATCTAGCAAGAGGCCAGGGGGTCTTGCTCCAGTCCAGCTTCAAGCCCGCTGCCCAGCGGAAGGGGTTTGCGGGGAGATGGGCTCAGGATACCGGGTGGAGGCCTGGGGCGCCCCTCTGGCCGGGCCAGTGTTCTCTGCGTTCCCACCAGGACCTCCTGCAAGGGTGGCCGCCGCCTCCTCAGGGTTGAAAGGAAGCCTTGGGGGCTTCCACAGCCCCCCACCCTCATCCTCCGAGACTGCGCAGAAGGGGACGGGGGTCCAGGGGCTGGCCCGTCCCTGATGCATGTCGCTGGAAGGGGGTGCCCTATCCCGAGGGCCCGCTGGCCTTACAGGCCCTCAACCCGCCGGCCAAGCTGAGACCCACTGCTCATGTTGCCAAGACAACCACGGCCTCAGCCCAGCCCAGAAAGGACTAAGAGGCGGGCGCTCGGCCCCCTTCCCCAGGCAAAGCAGGGGGCGGGGCTCCCCTTCAGACCCTGGACGGGGGAGGGGAGCCCCGATCCACAGGGGTCTACTGTCCTGGGAGTCTGGAGATCGGCTCTGGTCACCGTCCCCCTTTCCACACAAAGGGGCCCCCCCGGCCGGGGCGACACTCGGGTGCAGAGCCAGATCCGCCGCTGCCCCCAAAGCCAGGCCGCGGGGCCCCACAGCACCTCCTCGCGGCTGAGTGGGGGAATACCACCTCCTTTATTGCCTCCCCGATCCCCGTCCTTTATGCTGCTGTCCCTTTAAGGGGCTGGCCGCGCCGCGGACCGGGGAGGACTGTACCACCCGCACAGGATGCGGGGGGGGGTGTCTCGGCCTGACTGGCGTCGGACGCTGAGACTCCAGGAGAAACCCCCGTTCGGAGGGGCCTCACGGCCCCATATGGGTCGCCCCGTTCCTTGGAGGAGGATCCGGGGGCGCTAGAGTCCAAAACCCCGCACTGGCGGCGCGGACATGGGGCGCGCCTTCCCGCCCCGGCCGCCAGGCCTGCCCCGGGCCCGCCTCCGCGCAGGATTCTTAAAGGGCCCTCGAGCCGGGGGCGGAGCCAGCGGAGGCGCCGAGCC